AAGAAAGAAAGAAAGAAAGAAAGAACAAAAAAAGCAAGCACAATAAATAGAAAAAGAAAAAAGAGCTTTATTGTTTTTAATTAGTTTTTATAATTAAAATATCACAATCCAAAACAAATAAACTGTTTTTACTCAAGTTAAAGTGTCAAATTTGAGAGATTAATGCAATTTGCTAAACCAGAACCTAAGCCTGATGCACCTTCATCACCAATTTAATTAGAACTTTTTAAATATTGAAGAAAAAATATATCATTAAATAGTTAATTAGAAGGAAAAAATGAGTAAAAAATATGAAATAATAAGATTAATTAATAATAAAAGCATAAGTTGAAAATAAAATGATGAGCTAAATTAACAAAGAAAAAAAGAACAAAAAAAAGCAAGCACAATAAAAAGAAAAATAAAAAAGAGCTTTATTGTTTTTAATTAGTTTTTATAATTAAAAATATCACAATCCAAAACAAATAAACTCTTTTTACGAAAGGCAAAGTGTCAAATTTGAGAGATTAATGCAATTTGTTAAACCAGAACCTAAGCCTGATGCACCTTCATCACCAATTTAATTACAACTTTTTAAATATTTAAGAAAAAATATATCATTAAATAGTTAATTAGAAGGAAAAAATGAAGAAAAAATATGAAATAATAAGATTAATTAATAATAAAAGCAAAAGTTGAAAATAAAATGATGAGCTAAATTAACAAAGAAAGAAAGAACAAAAAAAAGCAAGCACAATATAAAGAAAAAGAAAAAAGAGCTTTATTGTTTTTAATTAGTTTTTATAATTAAAAATATCACAATCCAAAACAAATAAACTCTTTTTACGAAAGGTAAAGTGTCAAATTTGAGAGATTAATGCAATTTGCTAAAGCAGAACCTAAGTATGATGCACCTTCATCACCAATTTAATTAGAACTTTTTAAATATTGAAGAAAAAATATGTCATTAAATAGTTAATTAGAAGGAAAAAATGAAGAAAAAATATGAAATAATAAAATTAATTAATTATAAAATTAAAATTTTAAATATTTTTTATGAATTTTTTTCCATCCTAGATCCTAGGTTTTCAAAATTTATTTTTTCAAAAAAAAAGATATGTTATGCTTTCTAAAAATTAGTTTTATTTATAATGTTATTAAGATATAAATTAAATAGGTATTTCACTCTAGTTAATTTGGAGGGAAAAATGAAGAAAAAATATGATAAGATTAATTAATAATTAATAAAATTAACAAAAATGAAAAATTAAGAAATCATAATAAAAAGAATAAAGAAAACAAATCAAATAAATTAAAAGAACTATAATGTTTTAAATAAACTTTTATAATTAAAAATATTACAATGTAAAACAAATAAATAGCTTTTATTAAGTGTAAGTTTGAATAGCATAAAATGAAGAAAAAATATCAAATAATAAAAAATGAATAATAAATAAATAATTAAAAATTTAAATGAAAATTAAGTTAAAATAGCTAAAAAATTTTAGTTTTAACAAAAATCAATAAGTAATGATAATTATTTTGTTTATAAAAATTGTTTATTTAAATAAATTGATAATTAAATATACAAAAAATATCAATAATAATAAAAATAA